ATCGTCGTTTGTTTTTCAGCGGTTCCAATTGTTCAACGTCCGACGAACCGGTCCGCTGAATGCAATCGTACAACTTGAGCGTAGTGCCCCACTGTTGCCGTATGATTTTGTATTCGGATTTCCTGCGATCGTACACGATGCCCAAATGATTGATTTTCATCGGATCGATATCGTCCATATTGCGTATGATGCGATATTTGTCCGACATTATTTTCTTCAACAGCTGCTGCTTCTCTTCCAAAACCTGGCGCTTCAACGACTGCTCGATCGCGGCTCGGCCCATTTGACGAGCGCTGTCCGTCTGAAACGTGTACCTAATTTTTGCTTCTCAGCGAGAAACAGCTTGTACTCCATATTTTTTTCCGTCTCCATCAAGCGCATTTGCAATTTTTTTTCTCGCGACATTGATTGCATTTGTAGTTCTTTTTCTCGCGACATTGACTGAAGTTCTAATTCTTTTTCACGCGACATCAATCGAACGGTCGAATTTGTTTCAATTTCCATCAACTGAATCTTGAGCTTTTGTATTTCCAAGTCTCGTTTCAACAAATCAATTTCTACGGTAGCGGACGACGTGTCCATCGCTTCATCGATTCTCGCGGATTCGTTTACATCATACCGACCGGTACGCCTCAAAGTCGGCAACACTTCTTCGTATATCCACTTTGTAAATTTTACGGCTTCTGGTTTTTTACTCCGCGTTACGAGCGCGTACAAACCGGGTTCGCTTATGAACACCGTGTGCGGCTGACAATTGGAGGGTAAGTCATCTTCTGGTGACGTCAAATAGACTGCCTTTAAATCGCTCCAAGAACGTTTACATTCATCTTGAACATTAACGATTATAGCTTGTCTGGGATTGTTATATTCTAGAAATGATGCGACGTCGTTTGCTTTAAACCAAAACTCATTGATATTATCATTTTTTCGAACAATTAAAATCCAACAATCGAACGATACGCTGTTACCGATCGAAAGCTGTTTGCGAACAAGAGACATTGTAATAAACGATTGTAATTAAAAAAAAAAAAAAATACTAAAGTCACTGCTTGAAAACTGTGTGTATGTGTGTGTACCGAATTGCTGTAAGATTGAACCTCTTTTATATTCATTTTTATCTCTTATTACTAATGGTTAATAAAAAAATCTTTACCGGAATGAAAAAAAAATCTTTCATACGATATTTTGAGTTTGATTGTTTTTTATTTCTCCTTCAATTATTAAATCTCGAGCAACGAGTGACGATATGTAAGAGACGTTTGGCGACCAACGTTTATTGAAATTTCCAAAAGAGTTTTATTCCAATCGTCGACGCAACCACCGTCGCAATTGCAACCAAAAAAATTGCACGGGCCGTAAGAGCAATAGGTACCCTCGTAATTATCGTCATCGCACAAATATCGTTGACTTTACAGCAGCGTGGATGATTGCATTCTGGTTTTTGATAGTATGTAAAACCACCGGGAACCGCGTCTTGGCAATTCACGCCCAACGACACATAAATAATGGACATTTGTTTGGGACAGCAGACTGCTTTTGTATAAACAATAGCTGTGGTGATTATAAATAAAACAATTAAAACGGAAGAATTCATAGTGATGATGATGATGATAATGATGAAATTATATTATATATACATATATACAATAACTATATGTATATATATACAAATATGTAAAAAAAATAATAAGTAATCATCGTCGTTTCCATTCATTGTACATACTGGCCAACAATACGCATTTTTCGTCGCGACCTATCAAAGACGTCACGTCTCCGTCGATCACCAGGCGCTCGAGACGCTCGTCGCGGAATCTGTACTCGAAAAAATCACGCTTCTTTCGCATGCACGCCCTATTGTCGGTTTCCATTTCGATGGGTAATATTTTGCTTGCTATGTTCATATTGGCTATATCCTGTTTGCCTATGTACACGTCTTTCAAACGAGCGTTTGGCGCGTACATGTTGAACACCATCGTGTACTCGTTGTTCCGCGAGTTTTCCTCCGTGATGTTTACGCTCCAATCGCAGCGCACGCGACGACGGTACGCTATGTACATCTCGTCGTTGGTGTCTTGTATGATTATGGTTAGGAGCGCGTACAATTCCGTTGAGGATCTGCACGAGTCGTGTAAATCATAATACAAATACTCGGGAACGGAATAATTCGAGCATCTGTAGATGCAATCCCAATCCGAAAGACTGATGCTGCCGATGTATTTTATCATGTTGTGGTAGTATTCCAATCGTCTCTGATAGAATGGATGTTTTTTGCAGAATTCCGATAAACCTAGCACGAGTTTTGGTCTCGATGATTCTGGTGATTCCATTTCTTGATAGACATCGCACGCGGAGTCGTTTGTACACTGAACGCGCACCCATCGAAACAATTCGTTGATATAGGGCAGGGGTTCCCAACCTTTTTATCATCGAGTACCACCAGACACTTTTATAATCAATACGCGTACCACCTCAATTTTAAAACTAAATTAGGAGTCAATTTTTTTTAGCGTATATTTTTATTATTTATTCAATTCTTTACATTTTTATTATTTGATATTTATGAAAGTAAAAAAATCATAATTTTTAGTTAAATCTAAATATTTAAATTTTAAATTACAATTTTCAAATAAATAAAAAAAAAATAATAAATATAAATAATAATAAAATTAAATAAATAAAATTAATGTGATATTTGTTGTTGTTTATTTTTTACAAGGTCATCAATATACCATATTATATAAAATATAATATAAATAACACAAACGTTAAAACACTTAAAACTATAAGAATGCGCTTTATCGATAAGAATAGATTATCTAAAATTCTAAATTGCTACGATTACAAACCCCATGTTATCGACATTAAATTTATTTTGATAAAATAATAATTTTATAAAATTAGCTAATATCAAATAAACTAAACTAAATAATATTGAATGCAAATAGTAATAAAAAAATTTCTTCGCGTACCACCTACGAGCCTTCCGCGTACCACTAGTGGTACGCGTACCACGGGTTGGGAACCTCTGATATAGGGTATGCGTATATTATAAGATTTATGATCGCTACTTATTTCTCCAACGACGGCAGAATACTCGTGGTTGATTATAGATATTTTACAGCCCATTTGTACGTGTATGATTATCAGTAGAGCTGCTAGTATATCGATTGAATTCGAATGCAAAGCCATGGATAGTAATTTTTTATAGGGAATAAGTCTTGCCGCTTGCTCTAGTGTGGATATTAAACGATCGCTGTTCCAATTGTAATATATCAGTAACAGGATTTGTTTTGTAGACTTGTTTACTACGCGTTCGGCTTTTATAAAATCCAATTGAGTTAATTTACCGGTCATCGCGTCTATGTAGTGTCCGGACTTGAACGGAAATGTATAAAATATAAATCTGTAATTCGGGTCTATTATCGTTTTGGTCCGTACATTGAGCTTGTTGTAATAATCTATCAGTTCGGTGTCCGTCGGGAGATCTTTGGTATTCTGCGTATTTATTTTTGCGTTTTTAGCATTCAAATTAGATTCCAATATGTTCATACTATCGCATTTATCGTCACCGCAAACGGGTAGTGTTTCGTTTCTAGTCACACCTGTGGATTTTTTAAAACTCTCACCGTTCCCGATCAAAGAAATTGATCGACCAATTGTCAATAGATCGTCGTCGGTCGAATCTCTTATTATGTAATGCTCGAATCTGGTTTTGGAAAATATATCGTCTTGAAAATCATCGGGACCACTTTTTCCGAACATCACGCACAATCTTATTTTGTAAATATCGAATTTTGGCACGAACGAGATATCGTATTCCGCGTCTTTGTACGTCACAGTGTCTTTTACAAAAGATCGTAAAGCTAATTCGTCGTTAAATTCCGCTTCTTCGATGATTCGGCACAATTTTATTTCCAATTTTAACGAATTCTCTACAAAGGACACGTCGTTATTCATACTCAAATTATCGTATACGCGTTGTACGTTTTTACAAAAGAATAGAGCGAACGACGAGTTTTTGTTTAAGCCCATGTCGTGCGCGTTGGATTCCGTATCGCCGAACGCAAACTCCTCGAATCGCTTCAGATCGCAAACGTATTTACTGTGCTGTAGATTTGTGGTTATATAAGATATATAATTTGGCTTTTCCAAAAGAAAGAACGAGTAAAATGCGTCTTGTGGTTTTTTAACTTGAATTCTATATATTTCGTTTTCCGATTCCGGATTGTATGGTAAAACAATCACATTGAAATCATTATCATTATTACCGTTATAATTTTTATTTTCTAAATCGAATAAATGAAAATTTTCTTCTGATTATTTTACGTTTTTCAATACGTTTTCCAATTGTTCGAAATTATTATTCTTAAAACGACCGACGAATAGAGAATTGTCGAACAATCGATTTTCGATTTCCTTAAAATTTTCCTGTATTTTCAAATAATCAAAATAATCGAATTGTTCGTAAGCATAACCGGTGATTGCTATTATCTGTCTCCGTAAAAATTCAATATCCGATTCGGGTATATTGAAATCCGAGCGGTTAATCTGTAGTCCGGATAGAAAAGACCACGATAGATATTGCCGTTCGCGCAATAGTTCTGGCAATAGCTCGTATTCGCGTTTCACGAATATTTTTCGATTTGAATTGTACTTCTCTACGGGTAGTGTTTCTTCGGCGTCGTAAAACAGCGCGACTTTTTCGTCGACACCATTTTTTCCGTACCGCATATCGGTACATAATTCGGAATATATAGTAGTTGTGTCATGCTGACTCGTTTGGACGCGCGTGTCTGTGTGTACGTATTCTATATAACTATACAAAATTTTTCCAAACATCGCCACGGGTCGGCAAGCTTACGATAATGTCAATTCTTCGAGTATAGTGCAGCAATCGATGTCGCGTTTTTGCGCGATCATGGAACGCGGCGATATATCATTTTTAAAATTAAACACAGCTATAGCCGAATTGTGCAAATACGAGATGCTATCGTGTATTTTCGTTAGCGGAGGCACCGACAATTCTTCCATAGCCGAACTCAATAGATTCTTAACCGCGAATCACCAAGTCCCGATGAAATTTTATCAACAATTCTTGGACATATGTAAGGCCAAAGTTGTTATAAAATCAAATTCTTCGTTTAACATCAACAACGATACGGTAATAGTCGTCGACGTGAGCCCAACAAAACGGCTCTCGTCAACTATGTAACCACCAGATCGGCAGCGGCCATGACCAGACAGTTGGTCAACGACGCAGAAGAGAATCAGTCGTCTTTTGTCGTCTCGGTTTCATCGAAAAATCTCGACTACGGGCTGGTGCGCTTCAACATCACCGAAGATCTTATGGACAGTATACCTAGATGCATGAGTGAATATTACACGATTCTCAAAGAGGGAGCTAGACGTTGTAATAAAAACATTTCTGAATACATACAAACCGAAATAGAATAAATTTTTGTTTGAAATAGAAAGAAGTTTTCAATTTGGAGGCGATCATCATCATGCCGAATTGCGATTGGGGTCGTGCTTGTTGTTGTAGCGCCTGTAGGTCGGTGCACCGTGAAGGCAATAAATGTTCGCGATGTGCCGTCGAGTGTGTAGATTTGATCGAAATTGTCGATTTACAAGTTGATCGCAAAAGCGCTTCCAGTTACGAGATGAGATTTCTATGTCCCGTTTGCAACGATAATCACAAGTTGGAGGAAGAAGTAATGAAATCAAATCGCAAACAGCGTAGAGACGACATCAAACAATTGTACCGACTGTTGTACGATCACTTGAAGCAACTCCAAGAAAATAGACCCGTAAACGATCGGGTGGTGCGCGTTTGTGAGTTGTACAAAAAGATGAATATTTCAGCGCCTGCGAATTTCCAAAAGAGCTTCGTCAGACGACTACCTATTAAATATGAAAAAATTAATAATCGCTATTACTGCAGCGAATCGGTAGTGAAAAATTTTAATGTATCTCTATATTATAACTATATTAATAAATAATAAAGGAATTAAAATAAAATGCATATATACATAAAAGTAATATTTTTATTTCAAATCCATAATATTACAAAGTTTGCGTGATCAACGATTTTTCATTCAAATTTCATTCGTTTGCATGTATTCTATTAATTGCAGTCGCAATTGCCAGATATCTTTTAAAAGACATTTTCACACGCATTCGTCTTCGTCTTTGAATTCGAACGCATCGAACAGTTCTTTGTAAAACGCCAGCGTCTTATAGGTGTATCAATCCTGATAATCCTGGTTATAGAAGCGGCGATAATGCTCTCGCAATTCCGTCTCGTTCATGATGGAAAACCCGTCAAACGCGAATCCGGGATAGAAAAGCCTGAATGATAAATATTTTTTATCACTCAAGTATTTGTTCCAGATGTCTATACCATTAGTCACCGGAATCGCCTTACCCATGATGATGAATTTCGAACGCATGCCGCTGTTCATTCGTTCGGGAAGACGGTGTGGTGTTTTTTTAATAAAGTCGTAAGTTTTCAACGTAATACCCCAGTTCTGCTGGACTATTTTATACTCACTTTTACAAGTATTATAAATTATACTCAAATGATTTAATTTTAATAAACCCACATTCTTTGGGTTTTTGATGTTGTTGGAAACCGATGTCTTTACCAATTGACATCTCTTTGAGTCTTCTTCTCCATCTATTACTTTTTCTTCTTTTTATTCTTTCCGTCGTTGATGCATTTGTCGGTTTTTCTTTGGTATTCGGTTATGATGATGATCTAAAACTGTTTTATCTATAGTAACCAATTCTATATTTTTTTTTTGTATAGCTAGATCTAGTAGATTTTTTTCACTCTCCAACAATTTTGCTTTCAATTGCTGTATGCACAACTCCTTTTTCAATAAAGATATTTGTAAATCGGTTACGATTTCGGTGTTCATATTTATACACACACACGAGAGCTAACTTGTAACGTTCGGACGACTCGGTGATTTGTGACACTCACCGATGAAACGTAGAGTCTTATAAATAAATTTATTAAAAAAAATTACGATTACGATGGTTTATTTATTCGCCGATTATGAGTTTTACATTTTTAGAAAACTTTGTATGATTCAGATTGAATGATGATTCCAATTTTTTATAACAATCGGTTTTCTTATTATTAATGTATAAAGCTATTTTTATATTTAAAATATTGTTATTGAGATTGATACAGTCTAATACATGATTTATATCGATACGAGAACGCCTCGTGTTCCATTTCACATTGACGGAATCGCCTTCTTTGGAATCGAATTCTTTACAATTTGTATATAAATGCATCTTGGTTTTTACAAACTTCAAGCTAGTCAATTCTCTGAACGATCGCTCCAAGATCGGATAATAATCCGCATTGTCGAATTTAAAAAATAGATTAATGTCGTAACACTTGTTGTGGTATTTTTTAGGATCGAAAAACAACAGGCTGACGGCTAACAGGAAAGATGTGATACCCACGTTTTCCAATACGAAAACAAATTTTTCGTAATTTTGTAGCATATTGCTCATGGGCCCGTGTTCCCAGTTGCTGACGCGCAACGAGAGACCATCGTTCAAAAATTGTTTTTTATAATTATCGATAAACAATTTGAAGAATTTGAATTTCCAATCTCCGTTGCGCGATACAATCAGTTTGTATTTTTTATACGAATCGTCGCGACTGGTGTTTGCGTAATTGTCAGATCTCGCATTCATATTGTACGCCATACGAGTAATGGTGATCGGGTGTTTTTCGTAGGAAATACTAGGAGATATTATAGAAATACTGGTGTCCGGTGTGTTTGGTAAAATATTATCGACTAGCGATGAATTTTTATAACAAATATGTAATTCTATGAAATCAGAACTTATCGATACAATACTAATGTTGATCGGTGTTATAGACCATCTTAAAATATCGATACACTTGAAAAATATTAAAGGTAAGAAACATATAGAATTAAATAGTGGTGCGTGTAAGATGAATACGGGTATTAACGCGTAAACCACATAATGCATATATTATATAGAAATGCTTTGTAATTTTTCTCTCGTATGCGGCTATTCGACATGTAATACGCCGCGACTAACCACATCACGAGTCCTAAACCGGTGATGTATTCTACAATAAATAAAGACACCAATCGCTTTTGCGACTTATTGTAAATAAAGTTTGAATCTATTTTTTCCAAATCGTTTTTAAACTGCATTATCATGGCCGATGGTATTGTATTGTTCATTTTTGTGGTTTTAAACAGTTCGTTGGCTTGGACGTATACACCAACGTGCCCAAACATGTGTATTAACGAAAACGCCAAAAACCCACTGGCCGATAGAAAATGTATGTATTTATAGTTTAAGAAATATTTTCGAGACGCAATTGTCATAACGATAGTCGGTATGATTATACAAAAAGCAGCGGATCTCGCGATCAGTCGGGAAACTGGGCGCATGCCGTTTCAATCATAATAATAAATCACTAGCATAAACTGGATCAGCATCAGCGATGTGAATGTAAATGTAAATATTCTGTTCGATTGTTCGATTTGTCGCGATACTCGCGTTTATATAATTTTTTACGACCATCTATATCCGAAATGATCTCACGCACGTCCGTTTCGGGATCTGTTAAAACGTTTTTAACAATGTGTGATTTTTCAATGATCACGGTGCTCGTATGTCCGGGTGGTGCGTGTTTGCTGCTATTGACGACTGGGAGAAATTCGTCGGTAGAACTCACGGAAAAATGTTGAATTTGCGGAGAATACAAAAACGAGATTCTCGAATTCGCTCTTGGAATTGATGTTAATGGTGGTGACGGCGGCGGTAGCAGTAGCTGTGATATTGTTAGTGATGGTTTCGGATGTCGTTTGTGGTGCAAAGAAGATCCGTGATATGGTTTTTCGTAGTCATCTCCATCTTCGATTACTTCATATATATTGAGGATGATGTTGGTGGTGATTCGAGATATACCACACGCAAAATAAATATTTTTGATTATACATTCATTATACTAACATTATATGTATTGCATTGTATTATTTTTTTTTATTATGTATTGTATTATATTTATGATATGTGTACAACATATTTGTTTTTATTATATTTTACTTATATTTTAAACTGTATTGTATGACCATAAAGTTTTATTTTTTGCAATAATATACAGAAAATGAAACAAAAATTTGTTTGTATTATTGTACTATAACAATATAATTGTTTGCTGGTAACCGCACAATTTTAGGAAACCCTGTCTCGTATAACTTTAAACTTAAATTTAATGAATAAATCAATTTTGGTCTAAAACATTTTTTAACTTTCAAATTTTGTTTTATCATTTCAACATAATCTATAAAAAAAAAAAATAAATAAATAAAAAATATTTGATTTTTTATAGCACAGCTAGGTTGCACAACATAAATATTATAGCAGTGAAAAGGCTACGGATAGAACGTAGAACAGACATCCGCGCAACATTAGAGTATTGTAAACCTTTCCTTTGTGCTCGATTCTGGTCGGCTGTACGTCGATCGGCCAAATTGATCCGTCTTTGGCGAATATATGTTACATTCGTTCGGGTTCCAAAATCGGATCGCTATTGTTTTTCTTCTTTTTATTATTTTTCGCGGTTGTTATTTTATCATGCTCGACCAGAGACGCGTTTATTTCGGATAAGATTTCCCGAATGGTGTCTTTTGGGTTCAGATCGAATCTATTGATGAGGTTGGATAATTCGTCATTGATCGTTAGGTTTTCTATGATTTTTATATAATTTTTAA